TTTCCCCGGGGGGGTGGCGGGGCCCCTCTTTGGCCAAAAAGCATTTGGCTTTTTTTCCCCTTCTAAAAGGGGGGGGGGGGGGGGGCGGGCCCCCCCCCCCCCCCCCCCCCGCCCCCGCCAGGTCCTATTCTCTAGTTGAATTATTTTCCGTATTCTCTCCCAACATTAGTCTGGGCTACTGGACATTTCATTGATTATTGCTTATCGACTAATCAAGTCTTCTGGTTCTCACTTTTCTCATCTGTAAACTGCAGGTATGTTTAGCTTATTATCCTCCAGGAGTGTCCTTTTCCCAACCTTTCAGAATCCTGCCATCCTTCAGGTCTAGCTCATCTTCCTCTTCTTTTTTAAAATTTATTTTTTATTTGATTTTATTTTGTTGATTTGAGAGAGAAAGAGAGGAAGGGAGGGAGAGAGTTCCATTTAGTTAGGCATTCATTGGTTGATTCTTTTATGTGTCCTGACGGGGATTGAGCCTGCAACCTTGAGGTATGGGTCAAGGTCAAGCCAACTGAGCTACCCAGCCAGGGCCATCTTCCTCTTCTTGAAAGCTCGTTTCTGACCACACTAGCCCACAGGAATCAGAATCAACTTTGTCAAAACATTTAGGAAACTTATTGTCTATGCTGTATATTTTTAGCACATAGTCACATACTACTTTGGCCATGTCTTTCCAACTAGACTGTAAGCCCTGGGAGGCAGGAAGGTGTTTGGCTCAGAGTTCCTTACACATCTTAGGCTCTCAGCTGTGTTTATTGAATGATTGATATTAAACTTGGTAGTACTTAGTAATTTATTCTCCTTTATGCTACCCTCAAAAGGCAAAATGGCTTAACTTCATGATGCCTTTACTAACAACTCCTGTTTTAAGGAAAGACTTTAACAGTAGCGGATGGTCATGCCAATTTAAGTACGTAATGAAAGCTCATAAAATCTTAGTTTACATGCAAATAGTTGCCTTGAACACCACCTAGAAATTATATTGGTGATGATTCAATGTGTTTAAAGAGAGTGAGATAAGTTTTAGACCCTACATGATATTTTCAGTCCTGAATTACTGGAGAGAAATTTGGTATGTTGTTTGACGATAAATTAATTCTAAGTGTGTGAGAACTTGAGTCTGGCTTGTCACTTCTCCTTTGGGTGTCAGAGACTGATCCGATGTGCCATGCTCTGTTGATATCTTATCACAGTAAATCTTGGGCCATGGATTTCATGAATTTAAACTTTAGGGTGGAAGTGCTCTTCTGTTGTCTCTCTAGTACAGTGGTTCTCAACCTTGGCTGCACGTTAGAATCACCTGGGAATCTTTTTAAAATCCTGATTTCTGGGCCTCAAGGGCTCCTTTCACTTCTGTCTCCAAGTGATTCTAGCTGAGCTCTTCAGCCTTGAAATGGGTTGGAATGGGATCGTAGTAAAGGGAAGATTAATGTCACTAAGAAAACGGGCATTTTCTGTGTTAGTGGCTCCTTCAGTTCAGAGGGGAAGAAAAATCCTTGCTTGGGTAGGATTTGGGTTTAGAGAGAGATGGTGCCTGTTAGTTATTGTTATTTTTGACAATTGAAAAGTGTATTTAATGTAATTAATATTCCTTACATAAAGAATATTATATATATATATTTTCCAGTTGAACTATAGTACTATTAGACAGCTGTTTCATAGCTCCAGTTACCATCCGCGAACTATTTGTACAGCTGAAAGGGATCAAACTTACTAATAGAGTTCATCTTCAGTTTTTCCTTCTCTTAAGATATCCCACTACACAGTCTAACCACTGTCTGCAAACTCTGTTAAAGATGGGTCAGAAGCAGCGCTTCAGATTCTAGTTGTCAAGAAAGGAATGACCTTGCTGTTCTCTTTGTGCTGTGTGCTCTTTCAAATCCAAAATAGTAGTTTTCTAATGACAGTTAGGGTTGACTTCTTTTTGTTAGGAATGTTAGATTATTGAGAATTATCCACCCACTTTATATAAATTATCTTTCTGTAATGAAAATAGTTTTACAATAGCTTGAACAGTTTCATTTAGTAAAATGCTCTAAAGGTTTATGCCTCGTCCCTTTATCTGCCATTGTTACTCTCTTTTTAAAAACTATATTTTTATTGATTTTAGAGAGGAAGGGAGGGGGAGAGGGAGAGGGAGAGGGATAGATAGATACATCAATGATGAGAGAGAATCATTGATCGGCTGCCTCCTGCACATCCCCTACTAGGGATCAAGCCCACAACCTGCGCATGTGCCATGACTGGAAATCAAACCACAACCTCCTGGTTCATAGGTTGATGCTCAACCATTGAGCCACACTGGCTGGGCAAGATGTGTAGATTTTTAATAATGATTTTATAGATTAAAATTAGGTAAGAATTATGCAAATAACAAATTATTTCCAGGAAGTAGAGATATCTGATCATAAAACAGACATTGTACTGTAATCATGTGGGATAGTTTTAGAGAAAAGGTGACTAATGTAGCTTTAGGAACCCATCTCTCCTATAATACTGGGACCTCATCCTAACAACCTTTTTCCTTTTTTATCATCGGTTTCCCTTTTCCCACTACATCCTCCCCTTCAGCTGGAAAGCACAAACAAATATTCTTTCTTTTGTCTTTTCTCACCCTCAAAATAGTGTTCCATCTTCTTCCTTCCCGTTGCCCTTTCCACTGAACTTCCCACTTACTCATTAGTCCATTGTGATCTGTCTTCTACCTCTTCTACTTTTCTGAAATTACCCCCTTAAAGAACACCAAAGATGGAATTATCATATTTAGTGGCTTCTTAGTCATCATTCTTCTTTACTTCTTCCTCCTTAAAACTTCTCTCTAAGCCGCTACCCGCTTCTGATTTTCTTTCCAGCTTCTGGCTTTTCTCAGCCTCCTTCCTGCTCCCTTTAGTAATTCATGCAACAAATACTTGAGTGTCTGCTGTGGGCCAGAGCGTATTTTAGGCACCAGAAATATAGCCGTGGATAGGACAAATTAATCAGCTCACATGAAGAAAGAGATCAGTGATTTAAAAACTTATTTTTAGTTGTAATAAATGCTAAGAAACATTAGAGTAGTGTGATACTGAGTGATTTTCAGTAGCAGCTTTATATAAGATGCTCTATCTTTTTTTAATCCTCTCCTGGGGACGTATTTTAATTGATTTTAGAGAGAGAGGAAGGGAGAGAGAAAAACATTTATGTGAGAGAGAAACACTGATCAATTGCCTCCTATACACACCAGACACATAGTACACTCCCCCACCGGGGATCGAACCTGCAACCCACATGTGCCCTGACCAGAAAT